CCGCACCCAGCCCCCGGCCAGCAGCCGCCCCCGCCGCAGCCGGCAAAGCCGCAGGTCATCCAGCATCACCCTTCGCCCCGGCACCACAAGTCGGACCCCTACGCAACCGGTGAGTGTGAGTGGGCCCCGCTCTGGGCCAGGGTCTCCTCGAGAATCGGAGGGTCCGCTCGTGACTCTGCCTCCGAGGTCCTCTGGTGCTCGGAGAGGGGGGCCTGCCCCCGGGGGGGCCTCGTGTCTCTCCCAGGTGTCTGTGTTGGGGTCTCCGGAAAGCAAGCCTCCTGGGCCCTCTCAGGACACAGTCCAGAGTTTGGAGTGCTCCGTGATCCCTGTGGGTGGGGAAGCCGGGAACCTGGGCCGATCCACCTCTGGGGTTGGGGTGGGCATCTCGGAGGAGGTGGCCTAGGGTGCGCAGGAGCTGGTTTTGTAAGCAGGGCAGAGGGCCGGGGCCCGGTGGGGACAGGGCCTGCACTCTTGGAGGTGCAGTGGGTACCCCCTTTCACAACGGCTGCCCCTGAGCTCAGCAGGAGCTGCCCGCCGCCAGGTGAACATCTGCATGTCTTGAGTCCAAGGCTGAGTGTACCTGGGGCCTGCTCGCCCCGAGCAGGCCGGGCTTGCCTTGGGGGAGGTGCTGGGCAGGTGCCGTAAGCAGAACCAGAGCTCAGGTGCCCTAGGACATGGGGGTCAGGGCTGTTCTCTTGGGCCCTCTCTGCTACAGGTCTCTGGGTCTCCAGACTCCACCCAGGACAAGACCCAGGGAGCCATGGGGGTTAGAACGCAGCCAGGGTCTTTTTTTTGGAGAGGTTTTTGCTATAGGGTGCATGCTCTCACCAGAAAGAGAGAGACAGAAAGCGAGAAATCACCCCCGGGGGTGATGGCAACACCACAGTCCCTTCTCCTCCATTCTCTCGGGATCTTGGGCACGCACACACACGCACCCGGCATGAGTTTAAGCCACCGGGTCCGGGACACGAACTGTGGTTGACTACATGGGAGTCCAGCGACATAGTCATTACGCTAACTGCTGGTCTCATCAGCAGCCAGGGTCTTTTGACTGGAAGCCAAGTTGTCAGAGCCCCAGAGAAGCCCAGCAGGCGTCCCTGGACCCCAGGGTCTTGCCCCGAAAGCTTGCAGCAGGCAGGTGGTTCCCATAAACCAGGCCCCAGGGGCCGCAATCTGCTTTCAGGTTATGGGCAGGCTAGACCCACAACCCCCACCACTGAACCACAGTGGCCTGGATGGGCCAGAATGGGAGGAAATGCCAGGCCAGCGAAACCAGCCACACAGGGCTGGGAATCTGAGCAGCTGGGATGTCTTCAGGCTTAGGGGCAGGTCCTGGCTCGGGGAAAGGGGTCAAGGGGGTCCAGGAGGACAGACTGGGCTTCTCCAGCTGCCCTGCCCCGAGGTGCTGGCTCACTCCGTCACCGCTCTCCCTGGTAGTCTGAGGAGTCGGGTGTCAGGGTCCCCTGCAGCTCTTCTCTGGCCTGTACTAGCTTCTTGGGGCCCTGTCCCCGCCTGGCTTCCCCTCAGCCCACTGGATGCAGGTGGCTGTTTACGGAAAGACCCAAGAACCCCAAGACCTGTTCTACCCGCTCTGCCGCTGATGGGGAGGCCTGCTCCACTCTGGGGGGTGGGGGGAGCTCACAGGCTGTGTCAGGGAGCAGGACCAGGACTGGGTAGACCTGCAGCAGTACCGAGGAGAGCCAGGGCGAGCCTTGCAGGGCACTGACATCACTCGTATGAGGGGACTTCCACGCGTGAAAGAACGGAATTAAAGTTTGTGTTTATTTGGGTACAAATACTTAGAAATCCGTGCATAGTTTATTTACAGTGAGCATTTTCCACAAGCTTTTTGAAGATCCCCCCAATTTAACCCAGAGCACACTTGAACCACCTGAAGAGCTTTTTTATGGGCGGGGGGAGGAGTTGATTTTTGCCATAGGGTGCATGTGCTCTCCAGAGACAGACGGGCAGACAGAAAGCGAGAAATCACCCCCTGCAGGGGATGGTTTTCAAAGCTTCCTGGGTGATTCTGACATGCTGGAGAATCAGCCATCCGGATTGAGGCCACAGGGCTCCAGAAAATCCTGTGCAGACCTCGGGGTGCATAGCCCCCTGTGGGGGTGAGGGGTGGTGTCCTCACCAGGGCCAGCAGCTTCCTGGGGCTTCACAGGCCGGGCCGCCTGCTGGTTCTGCGTCCAGGTCCCCTTCCCCCTCTTTGCAGTTCTCCGAAGGCCTGGGGCTGGTGGCTTCCAGGCCAGCCCCCTGACACACTCCTTGTCCCCTCTCCTAGGTCACCTCCGCGAAGCCCCCTCCCCGCTTATGATACATTCCCCCCAGATGCCACAGTTCCAGAGCCTGGCCCACCAGTCTCCACCCCAGCAAAACGTGCAGCCTAAGAAGCAGGTAATGGGCAGGGCTGGGCCAGGGCTGGGGGTGGTGTGGGTTGGGGCTGCCCACGGCCAGGCCGCCCACCTCACCGGCCGCCCGGCCCTCGCTCTCGCTCTCGCAGGAGCTGCGTGCTGCCTCCGTGGTCCAGCCCCAGCCCCTGGTGGTGGTGAAGGAGGAGAAGATGCACTCGCCCATCATCCGCCGCGAGCCCTTCAGCCCCTCCCTGCGGCCGGAGCCCCCCAAGCACCCGGAGAGCATCAAGACCCCCCGTCCCCCTGCCCCAGCTTGAGTTCTCTCCCCACCCCTGCCGGGCTCAGGGCCCCGGGCCCCTGCTGGACCGGAGCACGCCGCAGGCCAGGCCGGGCCCAGGCCCACCGGCTGGGGGTGTTCCAGGGCCCGAGATGAAGCCTGTGGACGGCGGGGGGGCCGGGGACCGGGCGGC